TTATTAAGCACACATGTTTAACTGAGGCATTTTAAATAGCTTACCATCGACACGTTTACCTATTCGTGCAGTCTGATTTCACCTTGGATTAAGCAACAGATGACTTTCCGTTTCAGCCATGGCCTTCAAGGCACAAGTTCCTTAATCATGATACAACACAAAGCTTAAAAATAATGGTGAATCCCCAACTGCACCCTAGTCTTCAGGGAAAACAGATCATCTCTGTACAAGGGCAGAAATATTCCTTCCAGTTGATGCACGATGGATCATGACACGGTTTGTACGTAGTTAATTTTTACACACTGGCATTTCATGGAGTCTTTTCATTTCTCCACGGTTACACAAAAAACATCTTACTAGACCACGGTCAGGGGGATAAAGGTGAAGGCCACCCTGAATCAACTAAAGTTGTACCGGTGCTTTCAGTAGCAGATGTCAACAGGGCAAGGATCGAATGGTAGGACCAGATCTGCAGGTGTGTGAGCAAAGACTTTTTAGCAACGGCGATCATAAGAAATGGGACTCACCAAATTCATGAGGCGTTATAATTGTGACCATTACCAGGGTCGTGGGGGTTAAAGGTCAAGGGGTTGAAGGTCAGAGGTGGGTCGACATGGGGGGGGATCTTTTATGCGCAGGAGGTGGGTCTGAAAACTGTATTCCAGCTACTGTGCGGAAGCCCTGTCCATGAAATCAAGGTAAAACGTCCTCGTGTCTAATACTACACAAAGAACCTTTGCTAAACTCATCTAATCTCAAAAGACGTTAACGTTGACAAACTCTAAGCACTATCGCCGCAAGTGGCTGCAATGGGACAGGCTAGCGTCATCTGTTACAGCAATCACACTGGCTGAAATGATGCAAGCCTATCCGTCCAGGCCCTCCCAGTCATAAAAGAGACAAACGGCAGAACAATACTCAGAGACGAGCATTTATTTTCGAGGTCCCTTACAGCCCGGCATCCGATGGGGAAAGACTGGGTCCAAGTACAGAGTCCTGCCAACTTGATTTCCCCCATGGTGGCAGTCCTGCATTTTATACATCAGGTAAAAGCATCAATATGACTTGAGAAAACATGGCAGGCTAAGAGAGGCAACCGAAACCAATTTTCATTTTCCCAGTTTCGAGAGAGAGGAAACAATTATGACCAGCTACGTGTAATAAGATCACCAGCTCCAAGTGGCGGGCAGCAATAAACTACGGATGTACAAGTTCGGTGTTCACACTATGCTATTGTTAACACTTAGCGGTCTATTTGACGCATGGGCATATGCAACCGACTGGAACCACGGAGCTCTTTCTGAGCCAACAGCTGGCCAGCCTCTCGAAACACAGCTACGTGCTAATGGCCTCAAGCACTAAGAAAATAAACGTGGCCCTTTGTGTCCTCTGTTGCTTCGGCAACGCAGTGGGCTGTTAGTGTGGAATTCCTCAATCAGCGAAGAACGTAAAATAGCGATTGTTGTGTGGTCCAACAAATGCCTTTCTAGACTGACACAAAGTGAACAAAAACAAGTGAGGAGTTGAGAAACAGTCAATAACGCTTTTTCTCTAATTCCAATCTCTTGCACCTCTCCCAGCCTACAACCCCTTCCCTTGTCATTAATTAATATCAAAACATACTCAACAGTCTTGTGGTTGTAATTATAAACAGCCATGGGGGACAAACAGAAAGCCAGGGCATTGTTCTTGGAGACAACAGTAAAAACCCAAAACGTAGATGGAAGACAATATATTATGATTATAATTATTATGACTTCCTTTTTCATACCACAATGTTTTTAAATAAGAAATTATGGACACTACAGAAGAAACAAAACAAGTGGTCGTTAAAGAGCTAGGCCGGTGAAGGAGGCACCAATGGTAAGAGCCTTAGAGTAAGGTATCATTTGGTGAAAAAAATAGAATTGAGTTTTGAAAATGGCCATAGATACATGTATTAACCTGTTGAAAAAAAAAGAAAAACATAATATACTTATTTAGATGTCAACATTTCCAAAGTTCTTGATCTAACACATGAATCACCAGAAAGATTTATCAGTCTCAACGCCAATGAATCATCAGCAAGATTTATCAAGTCAAGAAGGTGGCTGGCATTTACACACTTGCTGGCAGACTGGGACCAAATATTGCAATAATTCATTCTGTTACTACATGTCCTCAGCCAATTCAGGTGCTGCCCCAAGAGTGTAAAACTCTCAGCACAGGCTGCTGTTGCTGGACTTGTAACTCTGGTGTAGTAAGTGGGATACTCATAAGGTCGCCATGTGTACAAAAGGGAGTAAACCTTGGGGAAGATCGCAGAGAAAGTGTTTCACCTTTAACATGAACCTAGGTGCGAAAAAGTCCAAGAGAACTAGCGGGTGACAGAGGAAACAAAAAACAAACGAAACTAACTTCAGCTATTGGGGTTTTGGGTAATGAACTGTCAGCATGACCATCTAAAAGAGAGTCTAGCGGTTAAGAAATTGGACTTTGGACCAAAATGTAGGCCAACCGCGGTCTCCGGGGGGGGACTTCGCTGCTCCAGCCATTTAGCAAGGTACTTAACCTCAACTGCTTTAGCGAATGTATTTGTTCGGCGGCTAAAATGAAATGCAAATGTAATGGAGGAAGCACGTGTTCCCCCATCGTCCTCCATCCTGCGTAGACAGATGCGGCGCCCATCGGGACGTAATTATACAAATTCATCATGCCTCGATGACGCGCCAGCACGCCGCCAATCCCATGATGCCTCACCTCTGACTGGTAGCCCAACAACAGTCGCAACAGCAAGATGTGTTTTATCATCCCCGCACTCGGCTTCATTTTTTGAATTTAAAATTTGAATGGAAAAATATATGGCTCCCCAGGGGTGTCCCTGGTGTGAGATCTGAGGAAAAACACAAATTCCCTGTAGTGCTGGAGTGCCGTGAAAAATAAAACACCTGGAGTTTTATATCTCAATGGCACATAGTGCTAATGCTGAAGCCATTAAGCTTACACCTTCTCCCTGAGTTTATGGGGGTTTCCTCTAGTTAGTTGCCTTCCAACAGTGTACAAGCAGAGAAAATCTGTGTCTCTAAATTGGCCGTTGTGCATGATCTTGCATTTCTCCACCCTGTGATGGAATGACATCCAGTCCAAAGTCTGCCTTTCCTTGTGTCCTTCCCAGAGCAGGCTCCAGGCTTACTGTAAACCTGGAAAAGCAATATACTACACCAGTCCACTAATGAGACACTAACTCCATCACCCTCTTTATTAACAAATAGCTGTTGATATTACATCTCCATACAAGCATATGCCCGTATTTATCAGGTAGAAAAAATGATTCAACCTTCTGTTATGCATTTCCAATTGAAGGTGTCTCTTAAAAGGATGTAATTTAGCTAAATATATGATTTGGACTGGGGTCATCCAGAGTAAGTGCCTCACCAGAGACTCCACTGAACAGCAATTCAATTCAATTTATTTTTATATAGCGCCTTTCCAAACAAAGTCGGTCCAAAACACTTAACATAGAATCAGGCGACAACAGTGCTTACTAACATACCACAGCTGATACAGCAAAGCCAATCTTCAAAGTATCTATTCTTGTCTCGAATGTAATTTGCTTAACTGCTAGACAATTTTGTTGCCGGGAATTGACGTCACATCTACCGTCCAGGCCTAATACCAATCCGCTAAAAAAAACACACACCAAAAAGAACAGTCCATTCCAGCTTAAAGATGGATAGAGCTGTCTGGCACAAAGAAACTGAGCAACCATCCAGAGGGCATGAAATGAATTGCACAAGATGATACACAGAACAAGGTCAACCTAGTGGGCAAAGTAATAGGATACGTGACAAAAAGCCCAGATCCAATTGCTCACCTTTGCTTTCGTTTGTTCTGAATAAGAAGGACGGTGGGTAAACAAAAATATTTAGGCCAGTTTCTTGTTTCCTTAATCTGCGTGACCTTGGGTTTGGAGAGTCGGGCTGTAATCAGAGCTAGAGGTCATTACACCCAAAGTTTTAGCTAATCGGCCAAAAATTGGAACCTGTGGATTTACATGGCAAATGTACGACCGGACTAATAATCAGTTGACCAAAGGGCCATCCAGACTTCCAGAACCTTAAGATTATGAGACGGCGTTGATTGGCGACCCCTCCCCAACTGATCAGCTGATCTACAACGAGCTGTCGTCATTTTCATTGATGTCTATGTCAACATGGGAGAGACAATTAAAATGTAAGTCGAAAGAAGCCAGCGGACTTTCTTACTCAGTGGTCATCCCCGAAAAGAAAAACAAACAAAAACGTCCATCTCTGTAGAGAAGAACAGGTGTTCATTTGGTGAATGCAATATTATCAGTATCAATATGATTTGACCTCTCACCTCCCACATTCAAAATGGCAGTTTAACCAGAGCCACATCAAAATAGGCAATAGCAGGGTCTTGTCAAATAATCCTTTCGGGTTACTCAAATAATGGCATAATGGCTTGCAGCTTTGTTTATATGAAGCAGACCCCCCAGCCACATTACAGGGAATTATATAGACAGATCCACACAACAAATCAGCAAGACTGTAGTTAACCCCTGTCCCAGTCATACAGGACTGCACCAAAAACCTGCGCAAGCTTCCACACTAATGAAACACTGAGTAATGTTCCTGTATTTAACCTCTTCTGTCTTACATTGCTAAGCTGTGAGTCAGTGACACTGTGGGCCTCCTCATCCCATTTACCTTCTATTCATCACTGATTTTTATGAGGAACAGCAACTATATAAAAGAAAATGTAATCAGTCCAAGTAGACCAAGAGGAGCAAAAAGGAAATAAATGCACAAAATTAAAAATTTTGAAGCCTGCCAAAGGGAATGCATGTCTTGCCAGCAGTGATCAGGGACTAAGTCCAATAATTATTACTCCATCCCTTTTCACAATGCATCAGTCTTTGTGACATTTAAATTCATTCAAAAAGACATTCATTCAGATATGTTGGCTACACAGCTAATGGGGGGAGAGGCTGCACTGACCTGAGGGACGAAGCTGGATTGAAGCAGTTCTTAGTGACATCGGTGACGTTGGGGTTACAGCAGTCCCCACTGTCGTAGCTGTAGTTGTCCCAGTTGCACTCGGGGTCACAGCGCCCGTTCCCCAGCTTGTGCCTGGGGCAGCTGCCCTTCTGCTTCTTACAATAGCCTCCGTCGAAGCCTGTGAGGGTGTGGCTGCACTCGGGGTCACACTCCTCGTCACCCACCTTGCTGATGTCGCAGTTGGCCAGCACCAGCCGCTCGCGCAGCGAGGAATTAAACACCTTGTGCTCGCTCAGCACCCAGGTGATGTTGTAGGCGGCAAAAGCCTCGTTCAGGTGCTGGTGCTGCAGGTTCACCTGCTGCGGAGTGACGCTGGGCTTGCGGCCGTTGTCGTCATGCACGTTGACCACCCGGTAGCGCACGGTCTTGGGTCTGCGGAAACTCCAGAAGCGGTTGTAGTTGGTGGCCACATCAACATTGTCACAGACTGTCTGGCCACACGGAGGCGGCTCCAGAACTGTGTCCAGGGACGCTGCCACCACCCCTTCACCCGGGCCAGCCTTGCCGAAATCACCCTCTGCTTGGGGGAAGGAGCCATCCTTCACCGTTAGCCACTTGCGCGCTGGGTATTCAAAGATCTCGTTCAAGACCAGTTCAGAAACGTCACCATGCGGCTGGCGGCTGTGCATGTCCCTCACAATCTCCAGCTGGGACCGGGCCTGGCGCCACAGGCTGAAATGTTCCACTGAGCCCCGGTAATTGTGGCTAAGGGCGTTACCACCAAGCATCAGGACCTTGCACTTCTTGGTGAGAGGGCTGAAGACCTCGCCGGACTGCTCACGGCTCACCGCTACCTGGGCACCGTTCACAAACAGCTTCATGTACAGTCCATTGTAGGTGACAGCCACGTGGGACCACTGGTTGGGGAGGTACCGCGCATTGGAGGTGATAGACGTGGCTTTGTGGGCGCGGTCCGTCTTCAGAGAGAAAAACAGGCGAGGGTCCCGGTTGCCCTGCTCACTCACAGCCTTCATGCCCAGCAACCAGCCACGGTCGCTGGAGGCATAGAAGCACTTATCATATAGACCTAGAGCCAGGAGACAGCATTAGCATTAGCGCCCAGCTACGGAAAGGAAAAAAAACCCACATGCTGCGAAAGCTACGCAGCAGCCCATGAAAAATAATGAACCTCAGAAAGCTTCTTCAAAGCTAAGAGCTCAGAAACGACACAAGATGCATCTGCACCATGTGTTATGATCCCGATTCCCTAGAAGAGAAACCAAATGTCTGCTTTTCAAATCAGACTGATCCGGAGCAACTTGCACTGCTCACAAATTTACACCTCGCTTGCGCTGTAAGCCATCGAGCCACACAGCTGGCTTTCTGCTCACTGGAGTGAGGGAGGATCATCACCTTGCCCAAATATACTACAGCTGTGTCCCAGCTGGACTTTAAAGCCCATGGTCCTGAAAGAGAGTGTCGTGCAAGCTTACCTCAGCCTCCCGTCCCGCGATCGACTAAAGGGAGCTGCAGTTTAATATAACGCACATCGGGAAGACTGAGGAGGCATCATTGTAAGAAAGAGGCACTCTGGAGGGCTTTTACAAGCTGTTTTTTCTTTTTGTAAGCTGAGTAACAGACACAACTGTGGCATGAAACGCACTTTTGGTGGTCCGGAAAGTCGCCCATTTTGGACCTGGAGCAGCTGTTCTATTCAGCATGTTCAGCGTTGGTAGTGTAATAGTTATATAGCTGCCTTTTAAGCAAATGAGTGGGGTTCTAGTCCCAGTCAACACAACCCACCTTCTAAACATTTGTGCCCTTGTGGTGGGAGGCTCAGTAAATAAGCATGCTATCAGTGATCAGCGAGTTGCTGGTTTAAATCCCAGGGAAGCAAAGTGATTTCCTTGATGGAGCAAGACCCTTAATTCCCAACTGTCCTATAATACCCTTCCCTGCTTGGGATAAAAATGTCAGTTAAATAAATTAAATGTAAACATATAGAGTGGGTAAAACAACCAAAGGAATGTATAACTAAAATGCCTTGATATTCCTCATGGGACTTTTTGATGTACACATGACAAAGACAAGTTTCTAATTCTAGGAGTGCAAGAAAACCGTTGGCTTCAATATACAATTGGCAATTTATTTGTTTCCAGGCATAATCCTCAGATAATCTTGTTGGTGAACTATGTGACTTCAGCCGACTGCTTTTATCTCGGCCGATCATGTTTACCTAGATGCCGTGTTTTGTGCCATTCTCATCTTGCTCGGGTCAAGTCAGCGCTCGCGAGATGCGTTATCTCGGAAAAATTTCAAGGGCATTTTTCTAGCAGCGCAGGCTGGCCTTTTCACATGCGGGGTGCCACCCATCAGCCAGCAGACATCAGTCACTTGGAAGTTGATTGAGAGGGCTGACACAGACACAGCGGACAGGTGGGGAGGGAGTGAACCAGGGCAGGAACGTCCCAATCTTATATCGGGGGGGGGGGGGCATTGACCAGCAGTGTCCTGCTTCTCCAGTATTATACAAAATCAGATGCCAAACATCACCTCTGAGTGAACACAGACTACTAGAATGTGTGACACCACTTTACAGAGCACTTCATGTGGTTGTTTAAGCTACTTAGGTTCCTCAAAAAGCCTCTTGCACATTAATCAGCCTGACAAGTGATGACTGACTGTCTCTTTCAGAGGTGAGTCAGGATGAGTTTACTTCCCTTGTCTTCTTTAAAATTCCACCTCCCTGGACCTTCATGTCCCAGAACATCCAAATTACGTTCTCCAGAAAATTGTTGTGTCACAGTGTTTTTTTTTTTTTTTAGGGTAAACTTGAAAAATAGCCTATTCAGCTAACCCCAGAGAAACATATAGCTGATTAAGCAGAAACTCTTTCTCTCTCTCTCTCTCTCTCTCTCTCTCTCTCTCTCTCTCTCTTCCCCAATGCTACAGCTGTTCCACAGTTCACTTGCAGTCAACAGCTTTCTCAGCTCGCACCATAAGCAAGTAGCAAGCTGCACAAATTCACAAGGGAACCTGAGACCAAAAAGGTTATCGGCTAAAATCTCAGCAAAAGGATCCAGCGCCGTATTCTTGAGCTAGGCTGTTTGACAACTTCACCGGACACTTGGAACTTAGGATATTAGCTGTAGCAAAGTCAGTCCGGGCTAAAAGTGTGTCCCAGAAGAGGGAAAGGTAAATGAACAGCAGGCTTTAGCAAGGCCTGGAAAAAAAAGAGGCAGAGCGAGGTGGCTTGGGAGATCTTTTTTTAGATCACGCTGACCTATTGATTATCTGCCATGTCTGAAATGTCTCCGAAGGCGAAAGCGGGCTCGCGGCGGCTGTATTTCAGGCCACAGACCGAAAGCAAATCGGGCTTTCAGAGGACAGCCGCAATAAGGCTCGCCGGCATGAGGAATACAATGTAGAGTAGGAAGTTTCCGAGGGATCGGACGCTGGAAAGTGGCACACCACCGTCATCTCCTGTCTGCGGAAGTGATGCAAAGTCACAGATATAGGTTAAATTATTCAGATCACAGGGAGCGGAGATTCCCACACTCAGTTCTGGTAAAAAGGGTCCTGGACATTCCTGTTCCAACACAGTGAGCCTGGGAGAAACTACAAGCTTGCTGTGGTTCAACTCTCTGTGTCACCGAGCCGGAATGAGGACTGCGACATTGTGCCTGGGAGAGACAGGCTGCTTTTGTCCTTGTGTGTCCTGTAGACGCACACGCATGCGATCCCCACTCCGCGCCGCTGTTCAAGGTCCTGAAGTAGGGCTCATTGTTACACTCCTCAGTCTTGCTTCCACAGCTCTGTTCATTACAGAATAACACTTGCGACTCCATACTCCCTTGCGCAAACTGGGGTAAAGCATGTTTCAATGAATGTCTTAATGCTTTATGTATAAAATATGAGACTGATATATGCTATTTTTATCTAGTGCACTATGGAGAGAGGGGGAAAATTCCTTCAGTACTCTTTCACTTTCCTCAGGACTGAAAAAGATATGAAGGTTTATGCCCCAAGGTGCAGAACAAAATGATACAAGAACAGTTTTGTTCCAGCAGTCAACACACAAATGAATAAGTTACAGATACAGCAAAACAGTGTTTTATTTGATTGTATTTAAACTGCATTTATCGTGTTATATTTTTAATAGTTTTTTGTCTTAAGATGCTTGTGTTGTAAGATGAATGATGTCTGTCTGTAATGTGTCTATGGATGAGGACAATTCACTGGAAGCCAACTCTACCTACGGGTACAAATACAGTAACGTGAACTTGAAACTGCCCCCATCAAAATACAAAGCTAATTTTAATGTTTATTTCATGTATTGGGCAAGTCTAACGAGGTCACCAGAAGCAATAACTGAAAACGTAAGGACACTAAATAACAATAAAGTTGTCCAAACTAAATAACAACTTTAAAGTTATTTGTGGTACATCCTATAAAAAATTGTGAATTACTTATCCAACTCTGAGTTTTCTACAACAGCATAAACATTAAACTCAGTAAGGTAGAGGCTAAAGAAAATTAACTTCTTCCGTTATTAAAACTTGAAATTTTCCAAAGTTTTCACACCAAAAGCACTTTTTCCTTCAGGAGTTGTGGGGGGGGAAGGGGGTACGTAAACATTCACAGCCTTAAGAAAGGTTCACTGCAGTATCTTTGGAAGGAAAGACAGCATGATGGTTCCAGAGCCTTCTCTTTACTGGGACAATTTTGATGTCGACGGTCAATGTAAATATATCAAGTGGTTTTCCCAGCACAGGAGGGACGCTGCTTTGAACCAACCTGTCCTTTTAAAACACCAAATGTTTGCATTAAGTCACTGGGAGCGTCGCTGGAATAGACAGAAATCCTGTTATTTATAAACAGAGAGCACTTTACTGATAAAACGGACAGCTCCATCGCATACAGTGCCCTCAAACACGGCTTCCTTTAAACTTAGCAAAGGTGTTTACACAGTACGATGCATAAAAAGTGGGATTCTGCAAACAGCGAGTAAATCCGCACTATGCATTTCGACACTAAAATTAGCCTGCAGTGGACTTATAGAGACTTACTGTCTCAAAACAAAATCTCATATGATCTTGACACGTGACCTATCAGATCCAAGAACAAGATATTATTTTTTTATTCTGAGGCATGGCTTACCTGCTTTTACAGATGCAAAACCCTGTTTGTCCCGGATCGTGGGTTCGAAGCAGCTTCTATTCCAGTTCAAACTAAGGTTCCCTGTCTCTGTACAGTTTGCCAGTCCCCTCTGTCTGTGTGCGTGTCAGAATTCCAACCTCTGATACATGCAGTTGAGGTGAGTCTAAACTTCCCTTGGACTGTGTGTGTGTGTGTTTCATTGGGCCAGACAGCATAAACACCCTTCACAAATCAGAGCACCTAGACATGCTGTGTAAATGACTCATACCCTGCCTACTCCCTGGTTTATCTGGGACTCTCTCTCCAAATATTACGACCATAATATAATAAATGGTTAATGGAAATGAATCAACAGGAATAAAGCCAAGGTCCTCATAATTTACAGAAACTGACTGCTAAAAACTAAAATTAAGTTGGTTCTTCAACAGACAACACAGTGTACCTGGGAGCAAAAACACAAAAAGTTCCTTTCCCCAAAACCAAAACATTTTTATTTCATATAACTTCTATTCCATCCCTGTGCCTTGCATAATTAGGCTGTGACACTAATTAATTTTTAAGCATACCTATTATGCACTGTTGCACCATAGTGAAATTACATATGGCAGTTAGTCAAAGAAGGGACCATTCTAAATGACTTTTCATATTATGCAAAATGCAAATCACAATTTCTGAATACAAGCCTGCTATTAATGCTGCTTGCCCCCTCACTCTTGACAAAAAAATACGTGCTTATCTTTTTGGGAGGCATTTTTAAGGGGAGACTGCTTTCCAATGCATAATCTATGGACCCCCTTTAGATGGAATCCTACTCCATAGCAAAAGGAAATCATACTACATGCAGTATAAACGGAAATATCTTTTAGATATTTCATCCAGTAACTGGGACGTGATTTCAACTGAAAGTCTATGAAGTACAAAATGTATGGGTTTTGAAAACCATAAAATGACACCTTCCTGATCCCTGCATCAACACCTGCATCCTATACCCTTGACTGGTTGTTATTAAATCCACATTCCTATATGATGCTATTTACATTAAAAGACAGGAACCCCCTCATTATTGTCTGGGTCCTCATACTCAATTTCCCATGATTCCTCTGTGATATGAAAAGGTAATTAACAGTTTAAATGATGATGAAAGGCTCCCTGGGAGTTGAATGGCACTGCCAAGTACCAGCTGTGATCTACATGCCAGGAGACTAAAGACAGAAATGCTAATTTCATGAAAATGAAATAAGCGATATTTGGTGCAGGTTCGTACTAAAGCAAACGCAATAAGGGACAAATAAAATTTTCCGGTTTCGTGGAATTCCCTTTTGTGGAACAGGCATGTGAAAATAGCTGCCAAATCCTGATGTATGAAAGTAGAACAATCAGCACCTTGTAACAGCCACTGGAGGGCGTCACATGGCCCCTGTTATCCTGTAATGTTTGACTGAGGAAGAGAACCCAACCACGCATCATCAGAGCAGCTGCTGCCATGTTTCTAAGATGCCCGCTCCTGAAGGGCAACTCTTTCAGTTGTCCAAACCAAACATGGTGGAGACTTGGCCACCTGCAGTGGTACTGCGAAGCCAGGGACATCAACTGTTTAGACTAAAACTGGTGGCGACTGGCTTTCTGATATCTGTAGGTAAACCTTGCTATATGCAGGCCATGTCGCTCTTGATGTTCTGCCTGCTTCGGCAGTCATTTCACCCTTATTGATCAACTCTTCCCTCAGATAGTAGACTTCCTACATATGATTAAAGCCCAGCCTCATTGAAAACTCCTATGACCAGCGCCAAAGTGATGCCAGATATTAACTAACATCTCTCTCACTTTTACCTTAATTTCTACAATGCCGATAATTATCCATCCTATCAACCTGAGCCAGGCTAAAACGATCCTTTCAGCTGTGCTCAGAGTTTGCACCATGTCCATCCTTTCTCACTTATCAATCTAAATTTAAATTTAAATTAATTAATAATAGGCGCAAGAATCAATTCATTTAACTCATTAATACGCGAACAAATACCAAATTTGGATGTAAGTGTAATATAGCGAGAGGATTTATGAGACAAAAGGCTATATTGCAGATGCAGCACCAGGTCCCGGATTAGGTAAAATACTTGTTGATACACAAAGCGCGCATTGATGGCGGCCGGCGCGCATTCGCGGCTTTGTTTACAGTTTTTCTCCAGTCGGGTGATGTGTCCGCGGCGGCTCCCTGTCGGCGGCCGAGGGGATCGGGTGGAAAAGCGGATCACTTTCACTCTTGAGGAACTAAAACGTCAAGCACTTTGCTACTCAAAGCACCACAGCGGGATTATCTATCGGGCGCGAGTAAACAGCCATCATCCGTCACCCCGACTGTTTGGCAGTTTGCAACACACGGCGTCACAATAACAGGCCAGACACGAGTAACACCTCCGGTTTATTGTTTAAAGGGAAAAAAAATCGCGCCCCTGATCGACCACGCTTTGGTGGGGGGTTTCCGTGTGGACATGTGGAAATATCCGCTATATCTTGGGGTACATGACTGCGGAAGCGCCTGGTGATGGGACGCCGGCAGCGCTTTCACTTTGCGGGCGGTGCGGCCCCATAGACCTAAGCTCCGTTAATAAAGTAAATATTCACCCCCGATACTGGATCTCCTGTGCGGACTGAACCCCCCACCCCCACCCCAAAAGCTCCACGCTTTCGGACGCTGATTCCGCAGCCGCGTCGTTCGCGTGCAGATCGTTCACTTTATTAATATGTCTTTTTTGCATATACTTTTGCTTACACGTATGTATGCACAATCGTTTTTTAAACGGCTAAAAACTCTATTTATACCCATTCACCCATTCTCAAATACAGTATACCCCAAATTATGTAGGCTGCTCAGTTTTACTCAATCTCATTACAGGAAATATATAGCGACAGCAATATAAGCAGATACCCAAGTTGCCTGCCAACCGGGGTTTACCTGTTAATAACACGCATCGCATAAGTTGGAACCGCGCTTGATAATTTATACAGGCTGACATTACATGTTATCTTCAAATAGCTGCATTACATCAGTAGCTCCGAGCATAGCCAGAACAGTCATCGTCCGTCTCCTTCGCCAGAAACGCGTTTTTGGGCGGCTGGCTGCTTTACCTGCCTTCGCTGTAAGTTACGGTACCTGCGACGAGACAGCCGTCTTATCTCCGCCAAGCTTTGTAGTAAACAACCTTTTCCCAGGACACCGTGATCTGTCATGCAGTTACAGTAAGGAGGGGAAAAAACGCCTGGGAGCTACTTTAAAAATAATGGAGGAAACAGAGTAACGTTAAATGGCATCTAAAGATCGATAAACTACAATGCAACTGTAACTTTTTTTCTTTTTTTACTTTCTGGAAATGAAAAACTATTTAAAAAGAAATTAAAAAAACGGAGCCTCACTTGTATTGCTCGGTCATTTCCAGGCGATAACCAAACAGCTATTGTAATATATGCGAAACCGTGCTCAACGATTTAAAATATCATTTAAAAAGCTACTTAACACATTTTCCCTAAATCAGGCTGCATTTCAGTCGTGCACAAAACCTCGGGGCAATCTATAACACTTAAAACTTATTCCGTTTTCTTTCTATTAATATGTTGTTAGATTAACATTAAAACAGCGAGTGAAATTTGGGGCATTACAAAGCATTTCTTCGAGGACTAAGATTTATAGACAACAGTTGTATATTATGCATGTCTTATAACGAATGCGCTTTAACTATGTGTGGGACGCGGTAACGTTTCTGGGTTAACCTCATTCATTCATTTCGAAAATGCATAAAACTGGTCTCTTCGGGGAGATTTAAATACCTGCGATTACAGCAGGGGATCGCTGGCCTCCCTCCGGTTTGATCCACATTTCCAGGGTAAAATTTCCTCGGGGTATCTCCACATTGGGCTTAAGTCGTATCTGGTCTCCCCTGCCCGTAAAATAAACAGCTTTCCCCCGACCCAGAGAACTCTCCTGCGCTTGGGAGGAGCGACGGTGCTGGTGAGGCGATCGGCGGTCCACTCCGGGCAAGGAGCGTTTGCCCCGGGGCAAGCGTGTAGCACAAGCCCCAGGGAAGGTAGTTCTGGCTTCCCTAATGCGCACCAATTCCCTTTTAGATCTTCCCTTTGTCCAGACCGTCCCGCACTCTGATCCAGAACTCAAGACGAATATCGCAAGGCAGGAAAGCCATGGGAGAATTGTCCAAAGTTTCATTTTCAAGGGGGAGCAATGATGAATTCTTACAGAAACAAACAATGAGACGAAATAAATAAAGTCTCGGGTGTTATCTCAAGAATATTCCTCTTCACCGGCTCTTCCACTTGATTTTATAACAGCTTGTCAAAGAAACAGATTCTTGCCTGACAAACCAATAAGGCGATGCTGTTATTTTTTTTCCCTTATAATGTTAAGCCACGACCCCCTTTTTTGCCCCTTAAGCAAAAAGTAAAACACTTAAGCATGGGTCGAAAGGGAACGGTGCGTTCACGCAAGTACTCCACTGTCCCCAAGGGGGATATGCAATAAGTAATCAATCAGGGTCGACAGGTCAGAACACCCCTTCATTTTCTCTCCCGCCGATCACCAGAATCTATAATAATTCAGTTGGTGCAATTTGTCACAGCTTTTTTTTGGTTGACGTTTCCTTATATCCACCCCGTAAAACAGTATTTAAAATCACACCAGTGCATTTAAAAAGCAAAAGCGAAAGGCGCCCGGCCGCAATTTCTGAAAGCCAGTGTGGACTTCCCAAAGTTGGCTCTGTGATATTAAAATGCAGGAGCGGTCTGGCAAGCGCGCAGGGTAGCAGACTATTCAGCATCGGGAATCATCACTGATTTGTCTGAAGCAGCAACCACTTGACGTGCCGGAGTTGAGCGTCCGCCTCAGAAGCTCAGACTTTTTTTTCCCTGTGTCTTTGCAAAACTGTGACAAGCCGCTCTGAAGTTTCGGCCTTTTCCCACCCCGCCGTGTGAAGTCACAGGTAACCCATGACTGCTATTTTATTGCTCACTACGCATCTTAAACGGGACGTTTTTTCCCCTTTTTCTTTTCTTTTTTTTTGAGAATTTTTGAAAGAACGCGCAAGTAATGTATCCCTCTGGCGGCCTCAGACGGAACAGCAACGCACGAGTTATTACACTTATTACAGAATAAATTATTTCTCTATAACAAGCCTGAAGCAAAACAAAATGGGTCTAGGAATAGATCCTACCATATCACAGTGTTTTAGCGAAATGGGAAAATTTGACAGTCCTTGGAAGGTACAAGACCTATAGTCGTTACGTTTGCCTGAATCACCCTTATTTGACGCAATTTTCCACTACAACCGCACAGAGCACTAGCCTTTTAAAACGCATTAAACTGACACCAATACTTTATAGCATGTCTAAAGTTTATATTGTATTTATTGTAGGTTATATAATAAATTTATCCAAAAACTTTTTTCCCCAAAAAATGTACTTAGTATTACTTAAAAAAGCGTATTGCTTTTTGTGTGTTTATTATTAGACGTGTCACATAATTGTACAAGTAAGCAGTAAACTTTTGAAGATGGAGACTAGATAAATATATGCACATTAAAACAAACTAGTGTGCAACATTTAAAACAATGTCAGCAAGTCTTCTGCATTGGTTTGTAGGTGTTCACATTTATTATTAGAACAATGCAATCACTAGAGAAGAAAAGTTTACCGCTTTATTTCACTCAGCGGCAAGCACATTTTTTTGTAGCGAAATTAGAGACCTAACTCAAAACTGAGGGATAACTTCCACAAACAAATTAGAGCAGTCGTGTAGTAATTATTACATTGTTTTAAATTCTGAGATTGAATTAGAACCAAAGTTTTCCTTTATTGCGTTTTTTTTTTTTTTTTTTTAAGTTGAATACAAGCATTTGAGAAGTAAAGCATCATGACAAAGTAGCATAACTTGGAAAAAAATAACCATCCATGTTTCCTGAACTCGACCATGAACTGAACTTAAAACCTCCACCACACTTGGAGAAAAGAAACATCTTGGCTTAGTTTTCATTTGCAGCCCATGGTCCCTGGATCCAGGCCCACAGCCAAAAAAAAAAAAATTTCATGGGGTGTCCCACAACCCTACCAATAGCCCCCTCTTGGTAGATTTTGCAGACTGGGGAGGTGGGGTTTGAACCAATAGTTTTACTGTCTATGTGCCTTCCTGGACCACTTTTAAGGTAAGGTAAAGGTATTCCCATTCCGAGTCAAACTTATAGGGCCCCCCAGGGTTGTATCTGCATAGATATAATCCACACCCAAAGGTTAACGTATTGTTGAATTGCAGTTGTCAGATTTTAATGGCCTTTTGGTCACGGTACACTGTAGCCCTGGAAAGGATAAAAAGAAATTCTCAAAAACTGCTGCAAACTCAGCAACTTACCCGTCTCCAGAGTCCATCTACACGTTACATTCATTCAAATAAAGCTTAAATTTTGTCTTATGTCATGTTTGATACCCATTTTATATGTTCTGTGTAAACTTTGCTTTGATTATTTTTGTTTCGTTCCAGTTTTCATACTCTAGTTAACCTAAAAATAACTGGCTACATTAAAAGTTTAATTTTTTTTTAAATCCCAATATATCTGTTCTCGCTGCGATTCTGCAGAAAGTGTGTGTAAGCCATGATAAAACATTTGGTAATAACGATGAGCAAGGGTCAGAAAGTTACACCGACATCCCACAAAAAATGAAAAGTTCTCTTTTTTTTTCCCATAGACACACATTTCTGCTTCAGATGTCAACCCACCATGACAGGGTCAACATGAACCCTCCTGAGTGCATTTCATTTTCACACATGTTAATGGTGAATGACTGTACTATTTCCACACTATAGTTTACTGGCTTTGTCTCTCGGGAGCAGAAGGCGAGAAACACCCAAACATGTAAGGCACTGAGATACTGGAAAACCGCGAGTCAACCCAAGATCAGGCCTGGGTTCCTGTGGAAGCTCCACTGGTGTGATGAGCACTGAGGCCGTCCTACCGGGCCACACTGGACGCGGAGGGACGCGTCGTGGAATCCAGCGGTAAGGTCGGAGGTCAAGGAACAGCAAGAATTTAGGCTTGGCTGAAGAGGAGAAAGTGTCAGGGAGAACGCAGCTCAACCTTCTGCAGGCTGAACACAAGAAAATAAACCACCAAATGTTGCGTTTCCTCGTTTACTCACTATTGATAAGAAAGCTACCTCAACATTGTGGGGGGTGGGGGGGCAAAGAGGGTACCAGTTACCCACACTGAAATCCAGCCTTTGTTTTGATCAACACAACTTTAAGGTTACAAAAACAGACACATATCAGATATTCGTGTTCAGATATTTCTGAAAGCACACTCCCCCCTCAACAACAAGGCCTCAATTCAAAATCAGCCACTTCCACATTCGAATAGAAAGATTAACAGCACACAAACAGTTTGTCCTGGGGGGGGGGGGGGGCATGCTCAAAAAAGGCTCGGATCAGATCAGATAATGATTGCACCATCGAGAGTGATTAATATACGGTGTGTGAGTTTCCAGGGACAGAGCACAGGCAGGGACTGTACTCTTATACATCATTGGGACCGATAATTGCAGCGGGGTTTCAAAAGAGTAACTGAGGGACATTTACGATGCAATCAGGCAGCTGTGTGTTAAAGTTATCAAATGAGAGGGGAAAACAAAATTTAGTCCAGAACTGAAGCGCTGTTCCTAAGGATGGAAACATTGAAAACAAAAATCAAAACCCGCTTGGGGTGTGGGAACATTTTTTTTTTTTATGACATTAGAAAATCTTCCTGAAGTGTCTTTCAAATGACTGAATCCAAAGTACAACAGCAGGCTGAATCATTCAAATGGCTGGTCAAAATAAAAACGAGTCAGACTCTACACAAGAGAGTGACCGTGAATTACTTTTCACATGTAAACACAATCTGGGACCCTACTGGCCCCTACTGGCCTGAAACAACAGCGGATAAAATTTGGCTGGTAGAGTCATTTTTACCCCCATTGGGGCTGGGAGGCGAATGTAATCCAAAGCCAGTAAATAAGCTACAGTGGTACTGAGACCGGAATGCCCCAGGGTACAGCGGAACCCGCCCATTGATGAGCCACGGTACAGCGAGACCGGCCCCACGGATCACGTCTATGACCGATGACACGACATTCACTTTGGCTTGCAGTTCCGTTGTTGCTACAGCACTCTCAGTATTCAGCTCCTCCTATGAGACATACCCTTAACCCCCCCCCCCGATTTGCTCATTTCCCGCCTCTACACTCAGAGTAGCGATCAACCATGCACGAATCACGTAATCTTATAATCGCCTGACCTCCAGAATCATAGCGTATACCTCAATGCACAACTGCAATCTAATGGGTGAACCAATTGTTTCTGATAACCCAGGACCCTGAACTTATTGATTACCTTGGTATTTTTGTCACCAAGTATTCACCACACGGGGGGCTGAGGAGTCAGGGGACCTTGGACCAAGGTTTTTTCCCTCCCTCCGTGAAAGTGGTCTTTTTTCCCCATTTTATGTAGCATTCTGTATAAACAATGTTATAATGGATGGCCACACACCCTTGTCAATTGCCTAGAGACTACTAAAATTCCTATATTGACCTCTTTCGTCTTGCATTGTCTTGTCTTTTGTCACTCCTGTCTTGTCCTTTAATGCACCTGTCCCCTCCACTGTGACTGTGGCACAAGAATTTCACTATGTTTCTCAGAACACACGACAATAAATCTTGAAACATATATTTAGGACCAGAGACTAAAAGGCAACTTTCCCGCACTACACACAATGCCGATCAATGCAAACACAAAGAATTTTGCCTCCAGTAAAAACATCAGAAGTTAAGATCCTTGTATCTCACTAAGGATTTAAACAGACTATTGCATCACAGAAAGGTACTCTTCAATAAATTTTGATTGACTGACAGTCACTTCCGACTCATCTGACCACTGAGATACTGTAATCTTCCCGGTACCTCAAAAAAAACTACCCCGGGAAGCAACCGGATCCTCAGCAAATGTGACAGGCAATAAGGATCAGGATCCATGGAGAACTCCAACGCAAGTCAGCGGTTTTCAGACCCCACCCACAGCTTAATCAGACATCTGAGTGGCTGCCATTCATGACTGCCATTTTTGTGTTTACCCTCGATACGATGTCCACGCCGGACCTCATGCATGCGATCAAATGGCTAACATCTTTATATTTCAGCATGTATTGAAGATTTTTACTAGGCTGCTGAGTAGCATTTCCCACAAAGCACGACTTCATCACTAAGTGCACCATCCCGCGAAGCACGACTTCATCACTAAGTGCACCATCCCGCAGCAAACGGAATGAATGTTAATGCAACCCTTGCTTTGCCGTTCCTCTGCGCTTCATGGAAAACTACATTTTTTTCCCAATCTCTTCTCTGCAGCATGACTCATGACTGATTCAGCACCTCCAATATGATGTTGCAGCATTAAAGTAATTAAACCCGCTGAATCACCGGGCAATAAAACAACAGGATCCCTCGGCGAGGGCTTCAGAAACCCTCCCAGTGCTTCCACGCTTTAATCGATACAGGAAATGGCAGCGACGGCGTCCAGCGAGCTCTTTCCGTCACACAAAAGGGAGAAGGACCAATGAAATGCGGACTCCTTCAGGACGTAAGGCTGGGTCATCCTACCTGGGGCGACCGGAGCCTTTTAGGGGTGACCTCGTCTGCATTGCTTCAGCTCAGCCTAGCGGTTTGGATAATCGTTAAGCGTCAATCATTAACCTGGCTCCGGAATATGCAGAATAACACGTGTTCAGTGTTTCGGAGAGTACAAATCACTACATTCCTGTGACCCTGGCCAGGATAAAGGGCTGGAAGGAGGGAAGGAAGGAAGACAGACAGAATACTGACATCCGCTGCTGTTCCAAGTACAAATCACACATCAAAGATGAGACACTCAAAATTCTCCTGTGGACCCTGTACCTTGGACACCAGCATTTTACGCAGCCATGG